TGGTGAATTTTGTGCAGGTTTTAATCTGAAAGGAGTTTTCCCATGTATTTGAAGGGGATAGGACTAAATTCCCTAAAGGTGCCAGACTGCATCTGATTGTGGATGCTAAGCAGGACCAGTGTTGGTTAATTGTTGGATGGGAGACCACTGGGAAAACCAGGCATACTTTAGAGGAAGGAACAGAGACTTTTCTTGTGGAGAGAAAAAATGGGGAATAAATAAACATAATAATAAACATAAACATAATAATAATAATAATAATAATAATAATAATAATAATAATAACCAGTAAAGGTGGTCCCAGTGGCGATCAACACACTGGGTGCAATGCCTAAAGACCTTGGCCTGCACTTAAACACAATCGGCACTGACAAAATTACCATCTTCCAGCTACAAAAGGGCACCTTACTGGGATTATTCGCTGATACATCACACAGTACTAGACACTTGGGAAGTGTCCGACGTCTGGATTTCAATGGCTTCTCTGTGTAGTTTGACATGGTGGTTGTGAGAATGGTTCAGCATTTCTGTGTTCTCACATAATATGCTGTGTCCAGGTTGGTTCATCAGGTGCTCTGCTATGGCTGACTTCTCTGGTTGAAGTATTCTGTAGTGCCTTTCATGTTCCTTGATTCGTGTTTGGGCAATGCTGCTGCGTTTGGTGGTTCCTATGTAGACTTGTCCACAGCTGCATGGTATATGGTAAACTCTTTTAACCTTTGCTGAACATAGCATTTGTTGGATTTTTTTGGTGGGTCTGTAGATAGTTTGTATGTTGTGTTTCCTCATCAGCTTTCCTATGCGGTCAGTGGTCCCCTTGCTGTATGGCAAGAACACTTTTCCTCTGGGTGGATCTTCGTCTTGACTCTCGTGGCTTGTTCTTGGTCTTGCAGCTCTTCTGATGTCTGAGGTGGAGTCTCCATTGGCCTGTAGAGCCCAGTTGAGGTGGTTCAGTTCATCTTGGAGGAGGTGGGCTTCGCAGATTCTTTTTGCACGGTCTGCCAAGGCTTTAATGGTGCTTCTTTTTTGACTTGGGTGATGGTTGGAGTTTTTATGTAGATATCTATCTGTGTGTGTGGGTTTTCTGTAAACGGTGTGACCCAGTTGTTGATCTGGTTTACGGATGACTAGGACATCTAGGGGAAGGCAATGGCAAACCACTCCAGTATCCTTGCCAAGAAAACTAAATGGACCAGTACAACCAGAGATATGTCGGTATGCCATTGGAAGATGGGACTCCCAGGTCGGAAGATGGCCAAAATGATACTGGGGAGGAGCAGAGGATAAGTTCAACTAGCCCCAGATGTGATGACGCAGCTAGCTCAAAGCCGAAAGGAAGGCTAGCGGCCGACGGTACTGGAGGTGAACGACGAATCCGATGCTCTAAAGATCAACACACCATAGGAACCTGGAATGTAAGATCTATGAGCCAGGGCAAATTGGATGTTGTTATTAGTGAGATGTCAAGACTAAAGATAGACATTCTGGGGGTCAGCGAACTGAAATGGACTGGAATGGGCCACTTCACATCAGATGACCACCAGATCTACTACTGCGGACAAGAGGAACATCGAAGAAATGGAGTAGCCTTCATAATTAATAAGAAATTCGCTAAAGCGGTGCTTGGATACAACCCAAAAAATGACAGAATGATCTCAATTCGGGTGCAAGGAAAGCCTTTCAACATTACAGTGATCCAAATATACGCCCCAACCACAGCTGCTGAAGAAGCAGAAGTAGATCAGTTCTATGAGGATCTGCAGGACCTACTGGATAATACACCAAAAAGAACATTATTTTCATTACAGGAGACTGGAATGCCAAGGTGGGAAGTCAAATGACAACTGGGATCACAGGCAAGCATGGTCTGGGAGAACAAAATGAAGCGGGACGCAGGCTGATAGAATTTTGCCAGGAAAACTCGCTGTGTATAACGAATACTCTCTTCCAACAACCTAAAAGACGGCTTTATACATGGACCTCACCAGATGGTCAACACCGAAATCAGATTGACTACATCCTTTGCAGCCAAAGGTGGCGGACATCCATCCAGTCGGTGAAAACAAGACCTGGGGCTGACTGTAGCTCAGATCACGAACTTCTTATTGCCAAATTTAGAATAAAACTAAAGAGATCAGGGAAAATACACAGACCAGTTAGATATGATCTCACTAACATTCCTAGCGAATATACAGTGGAAGGGAAGAACAGATTTGAAGGACTAGATTTAGTAAACAGAGTCCCAGAAGAACTATGGACAGAAGTCCGCGACATTGTTCAGGAGGCGGCAACAAAGTACGTTCCAAAGAAAAAGAAAACCAAGAAGGCAAAATGGTTGTCTGCTGAGACACTGGAAGTAGCCCAAGAAAGGAGGAAAGCAAAAGGAAACAGTGAAAAGGGGAGATATGCCCAGTTAAATGCGCAATTCCAGAGGTTAGCCAGAAGAGATAAGGAACTATTTTTAAATAAGCAATGCATGGAAGTGGAGGAAGACAACAGAATAGGAAGGACAAGAGACCTCTTCCAGAAAATTAGAAACATTGGAGGTAAATTTCAGGCAAAAATTGGTATGATAAGAAACAAAGATGGCAGGGACCTAACAGAAGCTGAAGAGATCAAGAGAAGGTGGCGAGACTATAAAGAAGATCTGTATAGGAAGGATAATAATATTGAGGATAGTTTTGACGGTGTGGTGAATGAATTAGAACCAGACATCCTGAGGAGTGAGGTTGAATGGGCCTTAAGAAGCATTGCTAACAAAAAGGCAGCAGGAGACGACGGGATCCCAGCTGAACTGTTTAAAATCTTAAAAGATGATGCTGTCAAGGTGATGCATGCCATATGCCAGCAAATATGGAAAACACAAGAGTGGCCATCAGACTGGAAAAAATCAACTTATATCCCCATACCAAAAAAGGGAAATGCGAAAGACTGCTCAAACTTCCGTACAGTGGCCCTTATTTCTCATGCCAGTAAGGTAATGCTCAAGATCCTGCAAGGAAGACCCCAGCAATACATGGAGAGAGAGTTGCCAGATGTTCAAGCTGGGTTTAGAAAAGGCAGAGGAACGAGAGACCAAATGCCAATATCCGCTGGATAATGGAGAAAGGTAGGGAGTTTCAGAAAAACATCTATTTCTGTTTTATTGACTATTCTATGTGTGGATCATAATAAATTGTGGCAAGTTCTTGGTGATGGGCATCCCAAGCCACCTTGTCTCTCTCCTGAGGAATCTGTACAAGGACCAAGTAGCAACAGTAAGAACTGACCACGGAACAACAGACTGGTTCAAGATTGGGAAAGGCGTACGGCAAGGCTGCATACTCTCACCCAACCTTTTTAACTTGTATGCAGAACACATCATGCGATATGCGGGGCTGGATGAATGCAAAGCTGGGGTGAAAATTGCTGGAAGAAACATTAACAACCTCAGATATGCAGATGACACCACTCTGATGGCCGAAAGCGAGGAGGAGCTGAGGAGCCTTCTAATCAAGGTGAAAGAAGAAAGCGCAAAAGCCGGGTTGCAGCTAAACATCAAAAAAACCAAGATTATGGCAACAAGAATGATTGACAACTGGAAAATAGAGGGAGAAAACGTGGAGGCCGTGACAGACTTTGTATTTCTAGGTGCAAAGATTACTGCAGATGCAGACTGTAGCCAGGAAATCAGAAGACGCTTACTTCTTGGGAGGAGAGCAATGTCCAATCTCGATAAAATAGTAAAGAGTAGAGACATCAGACTGGCAACAAAGATCCGCCTAGTCAAAGCCATGGTATTCCCTGTAGTAACCTACGGATGTGAGAGCTGGACCTTAAGGAAGGCTGAGCGAAGGAAGATCGATGCTTTTGAGCTGAGGTGTTGGAGGAAAGTTCTGAGAGTGCCTTGGACTGCGAGAAGATCCAACCAGTCCATCCTCCAGGAAATAAAGCCCGACTGCTCACTGGAGGGAAGGATACTAGAGACAAAGTTGAAGTACTTTGGCCACATCATGAGGAGACAGGAAAGCCTAGAGAAGACAATTATGCTGGGGAAAGTGGAAGGCAAAAGGAAGAGGGGCTGACCAAGGGCAAGATGGATGGATGGCATCCTTGAAGTGACTGGACTGACCTTGAGGGAGCTGGGGGTGGTAACGGCCGACAGGGAGCTCTGGCGTGGGCTGGTCCATGAGGTCACGAAGAGTCGGAGACGACTGAACGGATGACTAGGACATCTAGAAAAGGCAGTCTTCCTTCATTTTCTTTTTCCATGGTGAACTGGATGTTTGGGTGGATGCTGTTAAGATGGTCCAGGAACCTGTTGAGTTCTTCTTCTCCATGGCTCCAAATGGTGAAGGTGTCATCCACATATCTGAACCATATCGTGGGCTTTTTGGTTGCTGTTTCAAGGGCTTGTTTTTCAAAGTGTTCCATGTAGAAATTAGCTATGACTGGGCTGAGAGGGCTCCCCATAGCTACTCCATCTTTCTGTTCGTAGAATTCATTGTCCCACTGAAAGTAGCTGGTGGTGAGGCAATGGTGAAACAGAGCTGTGATGTCTTCTGGGAACCTCTGGTTGATGAGTGCAATGGGCTGTTCGTAGAATTCATTGTTTGTAGAATCATTGAATGTAGCTGGTGGTGAAGCAATGGTGAAACAGAGCTGAGATGTCTTCTGGGAACTTCTGGTTGGTTAGTGCAATGGTGTCTGCTACCGGGACTATGGTAAATAGAGACACCACATCGAAGCTGATCAGTTTGTCGTTGGTATTTAGCTTGAGATTGCTGATTTTTTCTATGAAGTGGGTTTTTATTTCATCTTATTTAAGTGTACTAGGTGAACTATAAATCCTTGGGGTGGGGTGTGTGTTGTTCGACAACACCAGGATTATTATGCAGGGTAATGCCCCCATTCTCTGAACCCCAATGTTACACTTTGGTCCTTCCTTCTGTGCTTTCTTTGTTTTCCTAGCAAACTAACCAAAGTTTGTTCTGCTTCCACCTTGTTTGCATTTTCTTCAGGGCAGGATGGGTCTACGTGGGAGCAAAAACAACAAAACCATCGTGCAGCAGAGGAACAATTCAATATATAAGCTGAGACATAAAAAGAAGGTGCCACCGCCTGCACCACCGGTACTACATCTTCTTCATGATCAGTAGACCAGGCATGGGAAACCTCTAGATATTGGGGAAATCTAATATCTGTTAGCCCTAAAGTTTCAGACAAGGACTCTCTTCTCCCTTTTTTATGGCAAAGGGAAGAATCTTAGGATGAGAACATCCCCTTCAAAATTAACTATTTACCTATCCATGGGTGCACTATAGAATTCATGTAGTCTGACACTATTTTAACTGCTATGGCTCAATGCTATGGAATCCTGGGAATTGTAGTTTGGTGAGGCACCAGCACTCTTTGGCAGAGAAGGCCAAAGACCTTGTAAGACTCCAACTCAATGATTCTATAGCATTGAGTCATGGCAATGAAAGTGGTGTCAATAAGTCTTTAATATAGTTGCACTTAAGATCTGGCATCCTGTAAGTGATGAATGTCTAAGGCCCCTTTTACACTGCCATACAATCCAGATTATGAAATCAGATAAGACGCATTATCTGTTTTGAACTGGATTATGAGTCTACACTGCCGTATAATCCACTTCAAGGCAGATAATCTTGATTTTATATGGCAGTGTAGAAGGGATTTATGTCATGTTGGCATTTGGCACATAACATATATTTGTTGCATGTGAGTTATTTATTGAATGGTAATAAACTATTTGCATAATGCAAATACAGTTAATCATGGGAATCAGTTAATTACCAAAGTGCCAAATGATGCTCTCGGTAGAACACTTGGCAATACTGGTTTGAGGTTTTGGGCTTGAGTGTTACCAGTACACTGATGACACTCAGCTTGTGCTTGGACTCTGTACCCGATTATTTCCATCAGTGCCTCGAGACCGTTACTGGATGGCTGCGTGCCAGCAGGTTGAGGGTGAATCCAGCAAAGACGGAGATCCTATGGCTGGGTCAACCGGGCAGTGGGGATATCCAGCTGCCTACCCTGGATGGCGAGGCGCTACGCCCGTCATCATTGGTATAGAGTCTGGGAGTCCTTTTGGACCCTCTGCTGACGATGGAGGCCCAGGTCTCCGCCATGAGCAGAACCGCCTTTTTTCACCTGCGGCAGGCTAGACGGCTGGCCCCCTCCCTGTCCAGGGACGACCTAGCTACGGTGATCCAGGCCACGGTCATCTCAAGACTGGACTACTGTAACGCCCTCTACATTGGCCTTCCTCTGTCGGTGATCCGGAAGCTCAAGCTGGTACAAAACGCAGCTGCTCGGCTTTTTGCGGGAACTCCGATGAGATGCCACATAACACCAATCTTTCTGCAGCTGCATTGGTTACCAATTGAGCACCGGATCACTTTCAAAGTGATGGTACTCATCTTTAAGGCCTTGCATGGTCTGGGGCCGATGTACCTGAGGGACTGCCTCACCCTCTACCAACCCCAGAGATCCCTCCGTTCTGAGGACCAAGATCTATTGGAAATTCCCAGTGTCAAGACCTTGCTTCTAACAGCAACCAGACGCAGAGCCTTTACAGCAGTGGCACCATCACTCTGGAATACTCTGCCACCTGAAGTCCGTGCCTTGCGGGACTTATCAGCTTTCCGCAGGGCATGTCAGACATATCTGTTTCGACAGGCCTTTGATCTTTGATATTACTGTTTTTAAATTGTTTTAAATAGTTTTTAAATTGTGTTAGATTTTAGCTTGTTCTTGTAAGCCGCTCCGAGCCCCAGGAGAGTGGCGGCATATAAGTTTGAATAATACATAAATAAAATAAATAAATACAAGGATATGCAAATAGTTGCTTGGTTGTGGAATTGGGAGAAAAGATGGAGTTTTGGCTGACAAGGCTAAAGACCTTGTAAAACTACAACTCAGTGATTCCATAGCATTGAGCCATAGCAATTATAGTGATGTCAAGCTGCATTCATTCTGTGGTGTTGATGCATTCTGAAACAGTAATGTTGGCTTTTCTTTCTTTCTTTCTTTCTTTCTTTCTTTCTTTCTTCCAAAGAGCAAACCCAACACATCTTCTGCTCCTGCTGACCAGGCTTCGAGCAATGGTAAGTATTTATTTACCAATTTGCTTATTTGTCCTAGTGGCTCCCTGCCTTGTCTCCAAATAAACAGCAAATGGAAGGAAAAAGAACAAAATGAAATGGAACATCAAAAGAAAAGCAGCGGGAGGAGAGAGAACTTGAAAGCAACTGATGATGTTTTTTAGTTGGTGTTATAGTTCAAGGGTGAAACATCTCATCATCATTGTTGTTATGTACCTTCAAGTTGTGGGTGTTTTTTTTTTTGCAAGATTTATTAAATGAGGGTTTGTCATTGCCTTTCCAAAGAGGCTGAGAGAGTGTGACTCAGTCACCCAGTATGTTTTTATGGCTGAGCAGTGATTTAAACCCTGGTCTCCAACATCATAGTCCAATTTTCAACCTTATTCTCCATCTTCATCACTATGATACTGCACCTTGTTGATGGGAAGCTTTCTACCAACTTAGAAATCATCTATTGGACAGATGGCAAACTATTTAACCTGATTTTGATAGCCAAAATCAAGGTCACAACAACATCTGCTATAGAACTCCAATATGCTGATGATAATGTAGTCTATGCTCATTCCGAAGACCTATAAGCAATTTTAAACAGCTTTGCAGAAGCATATGAAAAGCTTGGCCTCTCACTGAACATCAAAGAGCCAAAGTGCTCTTCCAGCAGTCACCAGCCAATCCCTCTGCAATGCCAGAAATACAGCTTAACAGTGTTACGTTAGAAAATGTTGACTATTTCTGCTACCTTGGCAGCCACCTCTCCACAAAAGTCAACATTGAGACAGAAATAATATAATATAAATACAACACCTCCTGAGCTCTACAAGTGCAGCAATTTTTTTTTTTTTTGAATGAAGCAGGGAGTGTTTGAGGATTGGGACATTCATGGGGAGATCAAGATGCTTGTTTATAAAGCCATTGTCCTCCCAACCCTGTTATATGCCTGCAAAATGTGGACCATCAACAAACGTCACTCTTGACTTCTGGAACAATTCCATCAGCATTGCCTTTGAAAAATCCTGCAAATCTCTTGGGAAGAAGACAGGTAAACAAATGTCAGCATGGAACAAGCAAAGACCACCAGCACTGAAGCGATGATCTTCCGCCATCAACTCCGCTGGATTGGCCATGCTGTCCAAATGCCCGACAATGTCTCCCAAAGCAGTTACTCTACTCTCAACTCAAGAATGGAAAATGGAAGGTTGGTGGATAGAAAAGGAGACTTCAAGATGGGCTACGAGTCGCCTTCGGGCTGAGAGTGGCGGTTAACAAGTGCAAATAATAATAATAATAATAATAATAATTAAAGCCATCCTTAAAAATTGTGGCATAGACACCGAGAACTTGGAAACCCTGGCCCTTGAACACTAGAACTGGAGGTCAGCTTTGACCAATAGTGCTGTGAAATTCAAATAGACATGAATGGAGAAATGCATCAAAAGGAAGGTGCATCAAGCCAATCCTTGTTGGGACCACCTTCCATCTGGCAACCAATATCCTCACTGTGAAAAACCATGCAGATCAAGAATAGGTCTCTACAGTCACCTATGGACCTTACTCTTGGAAGGCAATCACCGATGCTGATGGGGATGCTATAGACCTTGTAAAACTACAGCTCCTCTGGCTGTGAAGCCTAAAAACCATCTCTAAACAGCAAGTCTCAGGATTCCGTAGGACGTTGCCATGGCAGCTAAAGTGGAATCATAATGCCATAATTGCATATTGCGAGGGGCCCCCCTGGAGAGGTGCTTGATTGTCACCTCTGCTTCAAAGAATGAAAAATCTACCCTGAGTTCTTGGCTCAGCAAACAAGGTTTTGCACTTTTCTGGCGCGACTCCTCCAATAAATCCAAAAAGAAATAATAGCCCAGCTCTGTTCTCACAAAACCGCACATTATTCCTGAGGCATGTGACTTTGTGATGAAAAGGAGGATGCTGGCGGGTGGCCTTACTTGAAAAGGTCAGACGGAGTAAGATTTAAAACTATCTGTCTCCTGGGCGTCTATATTTAGATTGGTTTCTGCATTCGCCAAAGGTTCAGGTCCTATAAAAGCTGTTTGTGTTTTTCCTAGGCTTAATGGAGTCACATTTGCATTTTCCCCCCCTAAGGAATGCATCTACACTATGGAATGAATGCATTTTGACAGCATTTTAACTGCTGTGGCTTAATGCAATGGAATCATGGGAGTTGTAGTTTTGCAAGGTCTGTAAGCCTTCTCTGCCAAAGAGGGCTAATGCCTCAGCAAACTACAAATCTCACAATTCCATAGCATTGAGACATGGCAAAGTGCTATCAAGCTGTATAGATTGTACAGTTTAGTTGCACCTTATGTTGCTTCATATCCCAATTGCTTAATGAGGAATAGAAATGAGCAAGATCCCCCCATAACAGTGTGGATTCTAGATAGGGAATGAGATCTTCAGAGATCCATTTTGTATGGATTTTCATTTGGCTTTGCAACCATTTGGGAAGAAAGCAGCATATAAATCCAATCCAATCAACCCATAATAAAGATACATTTGAACTGATTATTTACTCAAGGGCTTTTCTCCTGCGACAGGCAAACACTGTGTAATTGCGCAGCATGAGTTTGTGCCAACAAGTGAGCGGGATCTGCCGTTGGCACTAGGTGAAATATTTGAAGTCCTTTGCAGGTAAGCAGCCATGTTCAGGTATTATTATTATTATTATTATTATTATTATTATTATTATTATTATTCTGACACAAAACCACAGTATGTTACAGCAAATGAATCCAAATGAATGCTATATGTCGTATTATTATTATCCTAGCATTGCCTGGGTGTGCTTTTTCTTTGTGGTTCTTTCTTTCCTTCCTCTGTTTCCCTCATACCCTCCCTCTCTTTTTTTCTGTCTTTCCTTCTTCCCTTGGCTTTTTCTCTTACATTATCCCCCCCCCCTTTTCTTTCTTTTTCTCCCTCCCTCCTTTCTTTCTTCCTCCCTCCCTTTCTTTTCTTCCTCCCTCCCTCCCCTCCCTCCTTTCTTTCCTTCCCTCCTTTCTTTCTTTTTCTTCCTCCTTCCTCCCTCCCTCCCCTTCCTTTCTTCCTTCCTTCCTTTCTTTTTCTCCTCCCTCCTTTCTTTCCTTCCTCCCTCCCTCCCTCCTTTCTTTTTCTTCCTCCCTCCCTCCCTCCTCCCTCCCTTCCTTTCTTTCCTCCCTCCTTTCTTTCCCTCCCTCCTTTCCTTTCTTTTTCTTCCTCCTTCTCTCCCTCCCTCTCTCTTTCCTTTCTTCCTCCTTCTCCTTTCTTCTTCCTTCCCTCCTTTCTTTTTTTCCTCCCTCCCTCCTTTCTCTCTTTTCTTCTCCTCCTTCCTTTCCTTCTTCCCTCCCTCCCTCCATCCCTCCCTCCTTCCTTCCTCCTTACTTTTTTTTCTTTCTTTTCCTTCCTTCCTCCCTCCCTTCCTTCCCTCTTCCCTTCCTTTCCCTTATATACATCTAGCAACAGCCAAACACATTCTTCCTTCCTTTCTCTCAGTTCCCAGGCCCAAAAAGGGTGACCTTTTAAAATTTCAAACCCATCAATTACTTCATGTTGGGTAATGAAAAATATGTATTTGTCAAGGCCATATAGTCTGAAAAACTCACAGCAACCCAATGAAGGATATGTCTAGTTATCTTGTAATCCGCCTTCAGCCATGAGCAAAGGCAAGTAAGAAATAAAATATGAATTATCATAATTATGAAGGAGAGTATGTGTGCCATGTTTGGACCAGCGCTATCAACCCATGCAGGAGCCTTTGTGATACAACCAAATCGACATACAAATTGTTGTTGTTGTTGTTAAAGATAAAAGTTTCCCCTTGACATTAAGTCCAGTCTTGTCCGACTCTGGAGGTGGTGCTCATCTCTATTTCTAAGCCAAAGAGCCGGCGTTGTCCATAGACACCTCCAAGATCATGTTGCCAGCATGACTGCACGGAACGGCATTACCTTCTCACCGGATCTACTCATATTTGCATGTTTTCGAACTGCTAGGTTGGCAGAAACTGGGGCTAACAGCGGGAGCTCACCCCGCTCCCTGGATTCAAACTGCCTGACCTTGCGGTCAGCAAGTTCATCAGCTCAGTGGTTTAACCTGCTGTGCCACTGGGGGCTCCTATATTATCAACCTGCATCCATTCTTCAGTCTAGATACACACTTAGTCACTTTTCTTTCAGTGTGAATTGTGTATCTGTCTATTTATTTTGTTTCTCTGCTTTTCTTCACAGTAATGGGGACTGGTGGCTAGCAAAATCACTTACCACCAAGAAGATAGGCTACATTCCTAGTAATTTTGTGGCCCGGGTCAACAGCCTAGAAGAAGAGAAGTAAGTCTGGGAGGAATGCATAGGAGACGCTTCATGGATATCACACCAGCCGAAAGCCTGTCTTGTTCGCCTGATGTTTGGGAGAAATATATTACTTTAAAGCAGGTTTCTGGTCCTAATGGTTTTGCAGTATGGCATTTTAGCAACACAGAGAAATAATTAAACATACCCCGGCTCAATCAAAATAGAAACTGTTGTTAAGAAATCAGAAGGACATTGAGTTTGCATCGACACAGTAGAATTAAAGTAGCTTGACACCACTTGAACTGTCATGTCTCAATACCAGGGAATTCTGGGAGTTGTAGTTTGGTGAGGCCCCAGGACTCCTGGGCAGAAATATATAATTGCCCTGATTCCATAGTATTGAGCCATGGCACTTTGAGTGGTGTCAAACTGCATTAATTCCACAGTGTGGATGCACCCTTGGAAAGATCGTCCTGGATAACTAGGTAAGATCTTCAAATGTAAAGACACATCATTATATGGGTGTTGTTGTTTATGACTTATGGTGAACCTATGGCGAATGCCTCCAAGTTGCCTTTTGGCTTCTGAGTAACCCATGAATTTCAAAGGGGTTTCATTCAAAGTGGTGGCTTTAGCCTATAAAGCCCTAAACAGTTCGGGTCTGGCTTACCTATCCGACGTATCTCTCCTTATGAACTATCTAGGATGTTAAGTGTCACGTTGCCAGGGCTCTACCTTATTTAGGTAGAGATTAATCAAACTCCCAGTTTTATCAAACAGTTTAATTAAAACAGCACTTACTTGCTGGCTGTTTATATAGTCCAAAACATAAAACACAAAGATAGCACGCAGCTACAGAATAAACAAAAACTGATAGCAAAAATAACTTCATAGTCAAAAGGGTCTAGTCCGATGGTAAAATGCTGAGAGTTCAATAAACAAAGTCCAGGGATCAAGAGTCTATACCGTAGTCAAAAGCCAGTCCAAAGGTTCAAGATTACAGGAGACAGGTCAGGATACCGAAAAATCCAAGACCTGGGGGAAAAACCAGCAGCATCCAACACCAAAATACAACAGATACTTTTCTCCCAAGATAAATCTCAAAGTTAACTCCTTAAATCCAGTAACACCCAGCTGCAACCCATCTCCTGCACACCTCCACCCTTAATTGCTTTTACCTGTAAACTGTTACTTACAAACTACTCAGCCCTTTAGAACCAAGAATTACATTAACCCTTCCATCACCAACTGCCAGGTCTACCACCACCAACCACCATCAACTATGGAACATATGATATTAAGATAGTCTGGGGAGGCCCTGCTCTCGCTCCCGCCTTCTTCGTAGATGTGTCTGGCGGGACGAGAGGCAGGGCCTTCTCAGTGCTGGCCCCTTGACTGTGGAACACTCTGCCTAGAGATATAACATCGGCTCCCATAGGTAAATGGAATTACAGAACAACTGACAACGCAATGGAATAATGATTTGATATGGAGACGCTCATGATAATGTTTCAAGGCTTTGTATGGTTTTTATATTTTTATATCATATGCTATTGTTTTAACAGAATTTTATGGGTTTTTTTGCTTGTTATAATTGTGATAGCACCAGGAGCTCCAATTTTGTTTGCTTTGCATTTAATGTTTGTTATAGTCCTAAGTTTCTGGGACTCTGCAGATAGGTGGGTTCTTTTGGCTGCAATCATAGGGCAAGCCAACTGTCAATTATAGTTAGGTTCCCTGGTCCCACCCCCTTTTTGGGTTTTAGAGGGAATAGGAGCCATTTTGGGTTCAGTCCACACAGATAAGCTTTTCATTCAGGACATAATACCAAGAGCTCCTGTAGAAAGCTTCGTCTTCTACAGCTTGGCCGGGGAGAAAGGTTCCATAGCTTGGCCAAGGATTATACAGCCTTACAGCTCCTTTGCTGAGGGACTTCAGTCAGCCATCACGGAAACCTGAACTCCTTTTCCCCTGGAAGTCTACAAAGCTCTGCTTGGTAAGGGTCACTTGAGGAAGCCAGAAGCAGTTGGTACCGGGTGCAGGGGCTCCACGCCAACAGAGGCAAAGACAGACTGCCCAGATTAGAAGTTAAGGGCTTTCCCATTAGTTACAGTTATGAAGATAGTGCCTGTTCCCTGTGGACAAGGTTGAGAAAGAGCCCATAGACTGTTAAGAAAGCCTTAAAGTACCTGTTTGTTTTCATTAATAAAGAACTTTGTTGGCCCTTTAAGCAATCTAGAGACTCTGTTTTAAGGAAATCCAAAGGCCTTTAATCTGAGGCAGCCCCATTGGGCACACAGAATGTATGTCCTGTCTACAGTCTTATGCACAGGCCCAGCGTGTTGCCAATCTGTAAACCGCTCCAAGTCGCCTCTGGGCTGAGCGGGGAGGTATATAAATATAGTAAGTAAATAAATAATAATAGGCAAGGGAGACTCAGAGGTAGTTTTGCTAGTTCCTTCTTCTGAAATATAACCTACAGCTACCAGGACTTCTTCTTGGTCTTCCATCCACTTCCTAACCAAGCCTGATCCTACTTAGCCTCCAAGGTCAAATGGGATCTGATGCTTTTAGTTGGAAACAGGTGTAAATTCGTACTTCTTAGGGATGTAGGTCCATGGGGAGAGGCAGGTAAGAAAACACGGGGGCTCCCAGCTTTGGCTTAACTGCACCAATCCCTCACTAAAGGTTGATGGGGCTTGCATTCCAATACTTCAAAATTACACATTTCCCATTCTTGTTCTGGATATGTTTTGAAAGATTGCCCTTCTTAAAAATTAAGAGAGTTCTCCATTCCACTGGAGGCACTTTAGTGAGGAGATGTTTCTCTTTTCTTTCTCAGGTGGTTTTTTAAAGGCCTCAGCCGAAAAGAAGCCGAACGCTTCTTGATGGCGCCGCGCAATGCAATGGGTTCATTTTTGATCAGGGAAAGTGAAACGACTCCAGGTAAGAAGACTTGAAAGTGTATTGTCAAAGGCTTTCATGGCTGGAATCACTGGGTTGTTGTGAGTTTTCCGGGCTGTCCAGCCATATTCCAGAAGCATTCTTTCCTGACGTTTTGCCTGCGTCTATGGCAAGCATCCTCAGAGGTTGTGAGGACCTCACAACCTCTAAGGAAGCCTGCTATAAATGCATGTGAAATGTCAGGAGAGAATGCTTCTGGGACATGGCCGTACAGCCCGGAAAATCACAACAACCCAGACTCGAAAATGCTTTTCCAAGTTCAACAAGTTTCTTTGAGGGACTATGTTTTAATTCCATGCTGATGACAATTGACTCTCCTCTTCAAAGAAGGAGCCTCCACCACACTCCAGGGCAGAGAGTTCCACTGCTGAACGGCTCTCACAGTCAGGAAGTTCTTCCTCATGTTCAGATGGAATCTCCTCTCTTGTCGTTTCCTCTCTTGTCGTTTGAAGCCATTGTTCCGCGTCCTAGTCTCCAGGGAAGCAGAAAACAAGCTTGCTCCCTCTTCCCTGTGGCTTCCTCTCACATATTTATACATGGCTATCATATCTCCTCTCAGCCTTCTCTTCTTCAGGCTAAACATGCCCAGCTCCTTAAGCCACTCCTCATAGGGCTTGTTCTCCAGACCCTTGATCATTTGAGTCACCCTCCTCTGGACACATTCCAGCTTGTCAATATCTCTCTTGAAATGTGGTGCCCAGAATTGGACACAATATTCCAGGTGTGGTCTAACCAAGGCGGAATAGAGCATGGGTAGCATTCCTTCCCTAGATCTAGACACTAGGCTCCTATTAATGCAGGCCAAAATCCCATTGGCTTTTTTGCCACCACATGACATTGTTGACTCATGTTTAACAACAAGGACTCCATGAGGACTCCAAGATCTTTTTCACACTTCAGATTCCATCTGTAGATTAGGAAGAACTTCCTGACTGTGAGAGCTGTTCAGCAGTGGAACTCTCTGCCCCAGAGTGTGGTGGAGGCTCCTTCTTTGGAAGCTTTTAAACAGAGGCTGGATGGCCATCTGTCGGGGGTGCTTTGAATGCAATTTTCCTGCTTCTTGTCTGGGGGTTGGATTGGATGGCCCATGAGGTCTCTTCCAACTCTATGATTCTATCAAAAATATTCCAAAAATTATCCATAGGGGTGGTGAGAGAGTGAGACCTTTACTTTCTGATGGTTCAATGCATGCAAACTTTATTTCATGCACAAAATAATTAAAATGAATGGATCCTCAACTTGTATCCACAGCAGTGATTAAATTATAGCAGATAGCAAGAGCCTAATGTGCCTTCTCTCCTTTCCCCACCTAGATGCCTTTTCCCTTTCCATTAGAGACAGCGCTTCTCAAGGGGATGCCATCAAGCATTACAAGATTCGGAAGATGGACAACGGCGGCTATTACATTTGCCCCCAGACCATATTCTTTTCACTCCCGGAGCTTGTCAAGCATTATTCTGGTGAGTAAAGATAAGTGTGCCAGCATGGTGCTGTGGTTTGAGCGCAGGATGCCCAGAGGTAGACAGTGCTAAACGTCTTCTGAAGGAATCCTGCTGAGTAGTGAGATAGACTCACTACCTCTGAGGATGCTTGCCATAGATGCAGGCGAAACGTCAGGAGAGAATGCCTCTAGACCATGGCCATATAGCCCGAAAAAACCTACAACAACCCAGTGATTCTGGCCATGAAAGCCTTCGACAATAAATCCTGCTGAGATTTGGGTCTCAAAGAGCATGAACTCTTCTGAGATTTGGAATAGCATGGGAAGCCCTGTCCAAGGTTCTGAAGACTTTGGCATAGGAAATATAGTTTAGTGCCCTTTAAACTAAACACTGGAGTGGATTCATAGCCCACTAACATGGGGAAAACACCATCAGGAACCAATACTTCCATATTTGAAATATTTGAAAGGATATCATATTGTGGAGGGAACCAGTTAAGGGTGCATCTACACTGTGGAATGAATGCAGTTTAACACCACTTAACTCAATGCGATGGAATCCTGGAAGCTGAAGTTTGGAGAGGCACCAGCACTCTTTGATAGAGAAGGTACAAGGTGTTGTGAAACTACAACTCCCATGATTCCCTAACATTGATCCATGGCAGTTCAAATGGTGGATGGCCATCTGTCTGGAGTGCTCTGATTGTGTATTCTGCATGAAAGAATGAGGATGGACTGAATGGTCCTTGGGTTTCCCCTGGCGTTAAGTCCAATCGTGTCCGACTCTGAGGGTTGGTGCTTATCTCCATTTCTAAGCCGAAAAGCCAGCATTGTCCATAGACACCTCCAAGGTCATGTGGCCAGCATGACTTCATGGAGTGCTGTTACCTTCCCAACAGGTGGCAGGTTCAAATCTGGGGAGAGCATGGATGAGCTCCCTCTATCAGCTCCAGCTCCTCATGCAGGGACATGAGAGAAGCCTCCCACAAGGATGATAAAACATCAAAACATTCGGACATCCCCTGGGCAACATCCTTGCAGACGGCCAATTCTCTCACATCAGAAGCGACTTGCAGTTTGTCAAGTCACTCCTGACACGAAAAAAAAAACCTTCCCGCAAGAGCAGTACCTATTGATCTATTCACATTTGCATGTTTTCTAATTGCTAGGTTGCCAGAAGCTGGGGCTAACAGCGGGAGCTCACCCCGCTCCCTGGATTCGAACCTGTGTCCTTTTGGTCAGCAAGTTCAGCAGCTCAGTGCTTTAACCCACTACCGGGGGGCTCCAACGGTCTTTGGGGTCCTTGGGGCCACTTCCAATTCTATGGATCTATGGAAATGGGGTCCAACAACTGCTTTTTCTTCAAATTTAAAGCAGCCAGGTTAAGCACCTGAGAATGAATCATGCGATCTGTAGTTTGGTGTCTAACCACAAAAAGATAGCTAATTGGAGGTAGACGTTGCCATAAATAGGGCCTTCTGGATTACACTCTGTAAGACTATAGTTTTTGTTCCGAGGTTATAAATGTTATTTCCTAATTGGTTCTATCATAAAAACATGAGAAAAGTTTATTAAATTGTGGGAGGGACATTCTGCAACACATTTTGCCATTGCTTTTCAATGAAAATCTCTTTGAGTCTCAACCAATCTATATAAATAAAAATGTAATGTTCATTTGTGGGATTAACATAACTCAAAAACCACTGGACGAATTGACACCAAATTTGGACACAATACACCTAACAACCCAATGTATGTTCTTCACTCAAAAAAATTGATTTTGTCATTTGGGAGTTGTAGTTCCTGGGATTTATAGTTCACCTACAATCAAAGACCATTCTGAACCCCAACAACAATGGAATTGAACCAAACTTGGCACACACTTCTCCCATGATCAACAGAAAATACTGGAAGGGTTTGGTGGGCAGTGTCCTTTGGTTTTGGAGGTGTAGTTCACCTACATCCAGAGATCACTGTGGACTCAAATAATGATGGATCTGGGCCATACTTGGCACGAATACTCAATATGCCCAAATGTGAACACTGGTGGAGTTTGGGGAAAATAGACCTGACATTTGGGAGTTGTAGTTGCTGGGATTTATAGTTCACCTACAATCACAGAGCATTCTGAACCCCACCAATGATAGAATTGGGCCAAACCTCCCACACAGAACCCCCATGTGGGCCACAGCAATGCGTGGCAGGGGACAGCTAGTTATATTAAAAAAATGTAATGTTTCTTTGTGGGATTAACGTAACTCAAAAACCACTGGACGAATTGACACCAAATTTGGCACAAAACACCTCTCAGTCCAATGAGTGACCATCACTCATAAAAACACTGAAAAACAAGCAGAAGAGACTTAAAATGCAAAAAAAAAATACAATGCATGCAGAAAACCACATATATACACAAATACACACACACACAAAACACATATATACAGACTGGGTCACAGCAATGCGTGGCTGGGGACAGCTAGTTCAACATAATTTGAATTGGTTGACGTTTCTGGACCATAACAACTACTTTCAAAGTAGGTATCTCACATTTAAACAGGAAATGACACTTTCAAACCAGGAAAAGATTTTTTTTTTCAAATTTTGTAACATAGTGTTATCAGTTGAGATAGTGCACAAGAAGTTGCTCGGTTGCTGGAGAGGATCCAAAGCAACCTCTCTTGCACAAAATAGAGAAGCTCACTTGGCCAGAGACTTGCAGTCAAGGAACGTGGAAATAGCAATGCTCATATATTTGGTCTACTTAAATGGAGGAAGTGGGCTATACTTTGCATTATTTCCAGCTACATGTCTATTACCACTCCATTCCAGTCCCCTTGCATCATCATCATGCAGATATATGTATAAGTAAAGGTTTCCCCTTGACATTGAATCAGAAATATGCATTTGAAATTCTGATACAATCTTAGGTAAAGATTTCTCCTTGACATTAAATCTAGTCGTGTCCGACTCTGAGAGGTGGTGCTCATCTCCATTTCTAAGCCAAAGAGCCGGCATTGTCCATAGATGCCTCCTAGGTCACATGGCCAGCATGACTGCATGGAGCACCGTTACCTTCCTGCCCGGAGCAGTACCTATTAATCTACTCATATTTGCATGTTTTCGAACTGCTAGGTTGGCAGAAGCAGAGGCTAACAACGGGAGCTCACCCTGCTCCGTGGATTTGAACCACTGACCTTTCAGTCAGCAAGTTCTGCAGCTCAGCAGTTTAACCTGCTGTGCCACGAAGACTCCAATAAATATATGTATGCCTACATCTTATATCCAGGACTTTAAGATAATCTGAGGAGGCCTTGCTCTCAGTCTCGTCTTCATCATAAGCACGTTTGACGGGAACAAGAAACAGGGCCTTCTCAGTGGTGGCCCCTCGGCTATGGAACATCCTCTCTAAGGATATCAGATTGGCCCCCTCCATTTTGATCTTTGGAAAAAGAGTCAAGACTTGGCTTTTTGAGCAGGCATTTGCAAATACAGTGTAAAAGACATAGGAAAATGGAATAGTTGAATGATGACTGGAGAATGTTTTAATAAGGAGACCCTAATGATATGTGTTTTTAATTGACTTTGCTATGGTTTTATATTCTCTGATTGTTTTTATGGTATTGAAATTGTATTTAATTGTCTTGGTACAAACTGTACACCACACCGAGTCACCTGCGGGCTGAGAGGGACGGTATATAAATATAATAAACAAACAAACAAATATACGTATGCCTTGATAGGGTATTGGGCATCCTATGAAATGAATCAACTGATGTTCGAATGCTGATAGATGGAAATGCAATAATATTAATGTGCAATTATTCAGACAAATGTACCTTCAAAACTGCACTCCAACAAAATAGGAAAAGGAAAAGGAATAGTATTCCATGAAGGGAATAGTTGGGGACCTCCCATTTGCCACTTGCATTCCTTTGGTAACATTGCCTGGTCCTTTCCCTTGGATGCCTAAACTGGATTTCCAAATTCTCAACTAAAGTTTTAAGTTACTGCAAAACTACAGATCTGAATCTGATGCAAAACCTGAGTTGGTAGAAGGGAATACTTCCTTCTCCAAGTTCTTCATTTTGACCCCTAGCATAGCTATCTATGCCTTTGGATTTGGAGGACTTTTGATCCAGAAAAGTAACTTCTAAAAGCCCTATTCTTTACCTCCTCTCCTTACAATCAGCCCTCCACATTTGCTGGAGTTAAGGGCATCGAAGTGAAAACAAATGTGAATTCAAAACAAGTAATTTTTCCAAGTGCCTCTGCTCTGGAATATACAATTGCAAGCAAAAAGCAAGTAATAACAGTGGTATGCAGCAACCTTCCCTATTGCAATCTCTTCTATCCCTTCCCAATGCTCACTCAGTTCAGCAAGGTGGTTTATGCCAGAGACTCAGAGAACCCTGCATCTCTCTGACTCCACAAAGCCCTTGGGCCACGGATGAATGGGAGATCCCTCGGTCAACCCTGAAGCTGATCAAGAAGTTGGGATCTGGCCAGTTTGGAGAGGTGTGGATGGGTAAGTGTTTCCTCACATATGTTTTCTATATCTACCAGGGTGTTAAAATCACTGAATGTCAAAGTTCTAGAATATCAATGCCATTTCATTTTTTTTCTGCCTAAGTGGAGTATCTTGCATTTGTCACTGTTGAACTTCATTTTGTTACTTTAGGTCTATCATCTCTCTAATATGTTAAGATCATTTTGAATTCTGCTCCTCTCTTCTGAGGTATTGGCTCTCCCTCCCAATTTATGTCATCTGCAAACTTGATGATCCTGCCTTCTAACCCTTCATCTAAGTCAGTAATAAAGATGTTGAACAGCACCGGGCCCAGGACGGAACCCTGCGGCACTCCGCTCGTCACATCTTTCCAGGATGAAGATCAGGCATGGGCAAACTTCAGCCCTCCAGGTGTTTTGGAGCTACTATCTGTTAGGAATTGTGGAAGCTGAAATCCAAAACACCTGGAGGAAAGAAACATATTCAAAGAGTGGAACATATTTGGAGGAAAGGATTTGTCCCACTCAATATCTCCTTTACATATCAAACTAAAAACCAGAGTGGACTTTGCATTCACAATCAGAGTGTGTGATAGACACTTTCCTAACATGTATGAGTACCCCATTCCCATGGCTGGTAAGAGATTATGGGATTTAGAATCATAGAATCATAGAATCAAAGAGTTGGAAGAGACCTCATGGGCCATTCAGTCCAACCCCATTCTGCCAAGAAGCAGGAATATTGCATTCAAATCACCCCTGACAGATGGCCATCCAGCCTCTGTTTAAAAGCTTCCAAAGAAGGAGCCTCCACCACACTCCGGGTCAGAGAGTTCCACTGCTGAACGGCTCTCACAGTCAGGAAGTTCTTCCTCATGTTCAGATGGAATCTCCTCTCTTGTAGTTTGAAGCCATTGTTCCTTGCGTCCTAGTCTCCAGGCAAGCAGAAAACAAGCTTGCTCCCTCCTCCCTGTGGCTTCCTCTCACATATTTATACATGGCTATCATATCTCCTCTCAGCCTTCTCTTCTTCAGGCTAAACCTGCCCAGCTCCTTAAGCTGCTCCTCATAGGGCTTGTTCTCCAGACCCTTGATCATTTTAGTCGCCCTCCTCTGGACACATTCCAGCTTGTCAATATCTCTCTTGAATTGTGGTGCCCAGAATTGGACTTGTATCAGCTGTCACTGAATGTCTTTAGGGCTATAGCTATCAAGATTTCAGAGAGCATCTACATTCAGTTGGTGATGAATGTATGCTTCCTTTTTTTCGGCAGGATATTACAAGAATAATGTGAAGGTGGCCATCAAGACGCTGAAAGAAGGCAGCATGTCTCCTGATGCCTTCTTGGCCGAGGCCAACTTGATGAAGCGGCTTCGGCACAGCAAGCTGGTCCGACTGCATGCAGTGGTTACCGAACAGCCCATTTATATCATCACAGAATACATGGCCAACGGTAAACCCCCAAATCTTCTATTTTAATGCTTCTGGTAGGTCTGTGTAAACTGCATGGAACTGCATTGAGAATGTGGAATTTCTGGGAGTTTATGTCTTCCTGTCTGAGAACTGATTGCAGCAACGAAAAAGGTGAATTCCATTTATTGTTGCAAGTGTGGCTTATGACACTACAAGTCTCACAAATGAAGGTTGTATGTATGCATGCTTTCCGGGCTGTGGCACAGTTAACTGAGAGCTAGCTGCATTAAATTACTACTGACTGAGAGGTCATGAGTTCCAAGCCAGCCTGGGTCGGAGTGAGCTTCTGGCCATTTGTGTAGCTTGCTGTTGACAGTTGCATATGTCAAGTAGGAAATTTAGGTACTGCTTATGTGGGGAGGCTAATTGAACTAATTTATGAAGCCATAAAAACCTTCCAGCAGCATGCAGAAGAATGAGGAAGTACTCCATCAACAGACTCGGTGTCACAATGGACGATGAAGCTGCAGCTCCCCCTGTGGCCAGAATCGAGCTGGAATCCAGCATACTCTCATGAAGCCGGAAAAAGCTTGGGCACAGCTGGAATGTTAAAATTGCCTCTGTGTCTCTCCCATATATGTTGTATGTCTAATGGCATTGAATGTTTGCCATGTATATGTGCATTGTAGTCTGCCCTGAGTCCCCTGCGGGGTGAGAAGGGCGGGATATAAATACTGTAAACAAATAAACAAATAAATAAATTTCCAAAGCAGTGTTCTCACCCTGAGATTCCTTCTCCTTTGATAGCTTCCAAAGAAAGTCCAAGCATTTTGGATAAAATATGTTTCTGTTTCTTTTCTCTTACAGGGAGTTTATTGGATTACTTGCAAACTGAAGAAGGAAAGAAACTGAATCTTCCCAGACTTATTGATATGGCTGCTCAGGTAAGCGACTTGACTGACATAAGTAAGTGGAGGGGAGTTTTTTATTTATTTTTTAAGTGTGAAATAAGCACAAGTTTTCTGTAAAACAAACATTTCAGAACTCCACCAATGATGGAACTGAACCAAACTTGGCTGCCATGGGTCAGTGCTAGGGAATCCTTGGAGTTGTAGTTTGGTGAGGCACTAACACTATTTGACAGGGAAGTCTAAAGGTTTTGCCAAACTACCACTGCCAGGATTCCATTGATGTCAAACTGCATCTATTCTACAGAATACAGTAGATGCATTGCAGCAGGTGGTCAGCGGTTTGCTCTTCTCCACACTCGCATGTCGTGGATTCCACTTTGTAGCCCCATTTCTTAAGATTGGCTCTGCATCTCGTGGTGCCAGAGCTCAGTCTGTTCAGCACCTTTCAAGTCTCCCAGTTTTCTGTGTACCCAGGGGGCAGTCTCTCATTTGGTATCAACCATTGGTTGAGGTTCTGGCTTTGAGCCTGCCACTTTTGGACTCTCACTTGCTCGGGTGTTCCAGCGAGTGTCTCTGTAGATCTTAGAAAACCATTTCTTGATTTAAGTCATTGACGTGCTGGCTGATATCCAAACAAGGGATGGGCTGGAGATGTCTCTGCCTTGGTCCTTTCACTATTGGCTGCTACTTCCCGGTGGATGTCAGGTGGTGCAATACCGGCTAAGCAGTGTAATTCCTCCAGTGGTGTAGGGTGCAGACATTCACTGTTTCAGTGTGGTGAGATGTGTTCCACACCGGGCATGCATACTCAGCAGCAGAGTAGCATAGCGCAAGGCCAGATGTCTTCACTGTGTCTGGTTGTGATCCCCAGGTTGTGCCAGTCAGCTTTCGTATGATATTGTTTCTAGCACCCACTTTTTGCTTGATGTTCAGGCAGTGCTTCTTGTAGGTCAGAGCAACCCAGTGATTCTGACCATGAAAGCCTTCGACAACACTTTGGTGAAACCTTTGCATTAAGAGCGCATCTAAACCATAGAATTAATGCAGTTTGACACCACTTTAACTGCCCTGGCTCAATGGCATGGAATCCTGGGATTGGTAGTTTGGTGAGGCACCACTACTCTCTCTATATGTTCACAATGGTGCATTTTTCAGGGTACCATAAATACAGTGTGTTCTGACCTCAGAAGCTCAGTCCGCTGTCAAATGCGGTGTTGCCTTTGCGCATGATGCTGTCGTAGAAACATGTTTTGCTGACCCTCTGAGATACAAACTTTGAGGCAAAGGGTAAAAATAGAGAGTGATTGGTGTGTTTTTCATCCTGTGGTCGCCCCATCAAGTGCATCTGACTCGAGGCGCATGAGCTCAGTGCAAACCGGCGATCACTTTGATATCAGGACAGGAAACGACACCCCTGGTTTCTCTTTTTTCCATTAGAGTGAGTAATCTTCACACCAGATGGAAAGTTTGTTGTCATATCCTCTTTGAAAACCACATGAAAGTGACAAGGTGGAAAAAACAACAACCAAAATCTCGTTCTGGAGTGGAAAATTCTCAGACCCCTTTAGTTTGGGTGGAGCAAAAAGAACATGAATCTTTCCTTCTATGGGGTGCCCAAGGGTGCATCTACACTGCAGAATTAATGCAGTTGGACACCAAAATAGCTGCAATAGATATGCTATGGAATTTTTTATAATTTTACTATGTCTTTACCCTTCAATGTATTGTCGAAGTCTTTCATGGCCAGAATCACTGAGTTGTTGTAGGTTTTTCAGGCGGTATGGCCATGTTCTAGAAGCATTCTCTCCTGATGTTTCAACTGCATCTATGGCAGGCATCCTCAGTGGTTGTGAGGTCTGTTGGAAACTTGGTTTTATATACCTGTGGAAAGTCCAAGGTGGGACAAAGAACTCTTTGTCTGTTGAAGTTAGATGTGAATGTTTCAATTGGCCACCTTGATTAGCATTTGATGGCCTGACTGTTTTTAGGTATGCCTTGTTACTGCCTGGGGGAATTCTTTGTTGAGAGGTGATTAGCTGTTCCTGACTGTTTTTTCTCTGGAGTTCTCCTGTGTGTGAGTTTTGTTCTTTATTTACTGTTATAATTTTAGAGTTTTAGTTATAAGTCTAGTTATAACCCTAAAATCCGGACAACATGGCCAGTCCAGCAGAGTTGATGGCGCAGGACCATCATTTCAATGCTTCAGTCCTGGTGGTCTTTGCTTCTTCCAGCACGCTGACATTTGTCTGTTCATCTTCCCAAAAGATTTGCAGGATTTTTTGGAGGGAATGCTGATGGAATTGTTCTAGGAGTTGCATGTGACGTCTGTAGATAGTCCACGTCTCGCAGGCATATAGCAGGGTTGGGAGGACAATAGCTTTATAGACAAGCACCTTGGTATCCCCTACGGATAAGTCTACACTGCCATATAATCCAGTTCAAAGCAGATGAAGGCAAAGCCTAGAAAAGCCATGATAATTTGCCTTAGGATCACCATAAGTCACAGGCATGCAAAATAACAACTATCCATCCCAGGCAAAACTGCAGAAGCATCTTTCCACTGGTAAGCAATACCTTTGCTCATTCCATGCAGTTAAATTACTTGTCCTCCTTTCTCCTAGGTTGCAGAAGGGATGGCGTACATTGAGAGAATGAACTCCATCCACAGAGACCTCAGGGCTGCCAACATTTTGGTCTCGGAGACGCTTTGCTGCAAAGTCGCAGACTTCGGCCTGGCTAGGATCATAGAGGATGAATACTTTGCACAAGAAGGTCAGACCAGCCTTTAGGACTTTGCAGTAAATCAGCGATTATTGGTCATGCTTTCATGGGACAGCCTTCAAGGTTGTTTTCAAATAGTTGGCATAATGTACATGTGCACTGACAATGAGTGCAGTTTGACGCCACTTTGAACTGCCATGGCTCAATGCTATGGAATCATGGGAGTTGCAGTTTGTTGAGGTACCAATCATCTTTGTCAGAGAAGACTAAATGTCACTGTAATTCAATAGCATTGCACCATGGCAGCTAAAGTGATGACAGACTGCATTAATTCTACAGAGAAGATGCACCCTTAGATTTATTCTATCTATCTATCTATCTATCTATCTATCTATCTATCTATCTATCTATATAAAATAGCACATCAAACTATAGGTTGAGCTCGTCTTGTCTGAGATGCTTGGGACCTGAAATGTTTTGGATTTTGGAGGCACATATGTGTGTGTGTGTGTGTGTGTGTGTGTGTGTGTGTATATATATATATATATAGCATGGAAACGCCAGCCGGGTTGTTTAGGAATCATAGAATCATAGAATCAAAGAGTTGGAAGAGACCTCATGGGCCATCCAGTCCAACCCCATTCTGCCAAGAAGCAGGATTATTGCATTCAAATCACCCCTGACAGATGGCCATCCAGCCTCTGTTTAAAAGCTTCCAAAGAAGGAGCCTCCACCACACTCCGGGGCAGAGAGTTCCACTGCTGAACGGCTCTCACAGTCAGGAAGTTCTTCCCCATGTTCAGATGGAATCTCCTCTCTTGTAGTTTGAAGCCATTGTTCCGCGTCCTAGTCTCCAAGGAAGCAGAAAACAAGCTTGCTCCCTCCTCCCTGTGGCTTCCTCTCACATATTTATACATGGCTATCATATCTCCTCTCAGCCTTCTCTTCTTCAGGCTAACCATGCCCAGTTCCCTAAGCCGCTCCTCATAGGGCTTGTTCTCCAGACCCTTGATCATTTTAGTCGCCCTCCTCTGGACACATTCCAGCTTGTCAATATCTCTCTTGAATTGTGGGGCCCAGAATTGGACACAATATTCCAGGTGTGGTCTAACCAAAGCAGAATAGAGGGGTAGCATTACTTCCCTAGATCTAGACACTATGCTCCTATTGATGCAGGCCAAAATCCCATTGGCTTTTTTTGCCGCCACATCATATTGTTGGCTCATGTTTAACTTGTTGTCCACGAGGACTCCAAGATCTTTTTCACACGTATTGCTCTCGAGCCGCAAGGTTTCACTTCTCTTTCTTCATTTCTTTGTTTAGGAAGTGATGTTTGGAGTGCTGCAGTTCTAACGTTTTCTTTCTTTGTATTCGTTGTTTACTATCTGACGAAAACTCTTTGACTTCAGTAAAAATTTAGCTTCCACTTGGTTTACTTGGAGGTCCGTGTGACCAGTTATCATGGGTTGCTTTGTAATATGGGCTTGTTTCCAGCCTTGGCATTCTTCCCCTTCTTTGTGATTGCAGGATTTCTGCACGT